GAAGCAAGGACAAATAAGGAGACGGGAGGGAAATTGAAGATAGATAACGACTCAGGAGGACCAAGAGCAAGGGGAGGGAAAAATAAATATTTGGTTCAATTTATGTTATACATAGCAGAGCACAAAGACAAGAGAACCATAAAGTCCAAATATGCATTTCAACACAGACAAAATTTATTTTTTGTGAAACGATACGATAATTTTACTGCTGCAATTAAAGCCACTGCATTTTCTAAAGATATCATAGGTAAAAGAATATTTAAATTGATAGGCGACTCCAATACAGAATATGGAATAAGAGGCGATACAATAAATAATGAGTTTTCTAATACATTAAAACTATTACGAACCGAAAAGGATTTTAACAACTATTATGAACAGATGACGGCATTTTATGACAATATAGATTGTATTAAAATATTATCAGTAGATATGGTAAATAAAGACGGCGAAAAATTTGACATTCTTACAGAAAATTTAAGGGATGCTACTAATGTTTCAATTTTTAATAGGTATATACATACACCTTTAAGGATGAACGAAGACACCATACATAAGGCAATTAACAAGGGTAATTATATTGAAAACGAATGCTGGATTAATGCATTAACTGATTTTTACAGTGACACAATTATGAACGAAAGGACCCGTAATAGACTAACTAGAGAGAGAGTAATTGAAATTATAGGTAGAGATAACTTTAGTGAAACGGGGGCAACCATTCACGAGATGGAGGCTGTATTTAAACAGTTTAAAATTCCATGCAGAATTTATGATTGTTGCAATAAATTAATTTATAAATGCGACCCCGATATAAATAGTAGGCACATCAAACCATTTTATGCAATGGTCAAAAACAGTCATATTTACGCAATGAATCACGACTTAAAAAGCATTCAACAGAAACAATTAATAACCAAGATACCAACTGTCAAAGCTTCAACCGACTACTATATTAATGAAAGAGAGGAACCACCGCTTTATAAAATGATAAAAAAATATTGACGATATACTAAATATCAAAGTTGATGAAAAAACAAAAGAGATATATTTAGTATCCGAAGACAATAAGTTATCTGAATTATTTTTCAATTTAGTTAATAGTGGCTACGAACCAAGAATTAGATTTCAAGCTGGTATTATATCAGAAATAAAAATAAAATTTAACAAAACAATATATATAATAAAAACACAAAATTTAATAAAAACTTCTGCAGATGGATGTATTGCAGTATGTGATGAAACCACATATAACAATATGAATAAAGCAATGTTTAATTTTAATAAGTCATTGTTTAACTTATCTCATAAATCGTTTTATAATGACATTGATCTTCAATTTTTAGACGAAGCCAGAACAGTTGTTCCATCTGGCTTATTGTGCGATAGGGGCGATATCAAAAATGAAATCGAAATCGATATATCAAAAGCATTTACTCATGCGTTTATTACTATATCAGAAATACCAGTATTTAATCAATTCGACATATGGCGAGCGTTTGATGATACAACTGATATTTATGACCTACACGACTTAACGTTATATTATATAGAAAAGAAAACTACTATACTAAAACGGACAGGAAGAATGCTATTTAATAAAACATATTGCTTAATATATGGTGTATTTTTGAAACAACTAGATAACATGACAAGAGAACGAATTAATATTTTATACTTTAAACAACCTTCATTTATTCACAAAGTTGAACATAAAAATATTGTTAATGAACTTTGGAACACAAACATTAGCGAAGACAATGAGGAAGATAAATGTATAAAAAACTGGTCGCAAATGTTAATTATGGACTTTTAGAAAAGGGGGGAGCAACTGACCAGAAGAGCACAGTGTTTAAAAATCTTAAGGAAGCTTTAAACTATCAGGCAGAGTATGGAGGTAAAATACATAAATTAACACATTTCACGACAGAACAAATTACAGTAGATGAAGAACAATATACAGCAGAAGAAGAACAGGCGTCATATTATATACTTAATTTAAAGGACACATCACGCTTAAGGAATGGTTTTAGGTATGTAAAAGAGCTACTGCTTCAATACCATAATTTTAGAATGTATCAAGATTATTCTAAATTACATCAAAATGGTATTAATGTATATAGCGTCAAAACAGATGCGTTTACAATAGCGCGATCGGATATAACAAAAGCAAGAGAGCTTTTAATCTTTAATAATGAAATAGGAGGATGGAGAATTTCAAACGACGAATATATTAAATTTCCTACTGTAAATTATGAAATTACACAAAACGAATTAATACAAATACCAATTTATGAAAGTAAAACTATTGATATAGTAGATGAATATGACACAGATAATATTATAGAAATTATTGAACAAAATAATCCTATTATGATTCGTGGAGCACTACCGGGCACAGGAAAACCATATATATGTCAAAAAATGGTTGATAAAAATTATAATGTAATGTTTATTTGTCCTACTAACAAATTACTGCAGGCATTTGAAGGAGAAGCAATGACAATAAGTAAATTTTTCGGTATTAATTATGGAGATGCTAAATTAGAACCATTTGATTTTACAAAATTTGATGTAATTGTATTTGATGAAGTTTATTTTAGTAATTTAAATATATATTGGAGAATAAAGCAATTTGTAGAACAGAATAAGCACAACAAAATTATAATAGCAACAGGAGACACTAAGCAATTAAAACCAGTTCAAGAGATAACACATACTCGAGACTATGAAGTATATACTGATAACATTATAGATAACATTTTTGAATATAATATTTTGTTAAAAGAATGTAAGCGACTTAACACACAGGAAGATAAAGATAAACTAAGAAATATTAAAATTGATATTTTTGAAAATAAATTACCTATTATGAAAGTTATTGAAAAATACTTTGAATATACAACAGATATTAGCAAGTCAAAAAATAATATAGCATTTTTAAATACAACTTGTAAAAATGTATGAAAATTAGAAAATAGAAAAGATGAATATCAAGTCGGATAATTTTTAATTTGTAGAGAATATACAACAACTAAAACATCAGTGTTTAATGTAAATTTCAAATATAAAATTGTTCATATTGGAAGCGATGGAATTTTTACTTTAAAGAATGTTAAAACTGAAATTCTACAGTCTTTGTCAGTTGATAAAATAAGAAGTAATTTTATATTTGCATATTGTTCGACTTGTCATTCTGCCCAAGGCAGTAGCATTGATGATACCATAACATTTTTTGATTATAACCATTTTTTGGTAAAGAATTATCCAGAATGGATATGGACTGCAATTACAAGGTGTAGAGATTTAAACAAAGTCAAATTTTATAAATATACGAAAGATATTGATGATGTATCTAATCAAAAATGTATTATGAGTTATTTTGAAAGGAAAATATTAAATTACAAAGAACAAGACAGGAAAGCCAAAAGAACAATACCTAAAGAAGGTTATGTAAATGCGCAATGGTTTTTAAATAATATCACTAATCAATGTAATTACTGCGGATGCGGTTTTTCTATGGATATTAAAAACGGTAATATAATGACAAATCTGACAGCGCAACGTAAATCAAACGAGTTGTCACACGAACTGAATAATATTATTCCTTACTGTGTTAGATGCAATTGTAGTTGTAAATGATAATAATTTAAATAATATTTTAATATTCCTTGTAAAAAAAGTATTTAAAGAAATAAAAACTATATATATTATAATAGAAATGGTGGCAACCGAAATCAATAATTATATCAATAAGAAATGCTACAACTGTTGCCACTTCAAAAAGGAAAATATGGAATTATATAAATTAAATTTACCTAATGGAATAGTTAATAATATTATTGATTATTCTTTGGGTAAGGAAAATTTATGTAAAATTTGTAGAAATTGGAGATATTACCAAGACGCAATCGAATATAATTTAGATATTAAAAGGTTTAATGAAAGAAATGTTGAAGATGACATTTTGATATTTTTAACTGTGTATGAAATACCGCCTTATGATTATGTTAAAGCATTTCTTAAAATCAGTAAGAAAAAGTATGAAATTATTGACTACATATTATGGGCATTGATTTATCATAAAATGGAAGGGGTTGATGTAAAAAAAACACTTAAATTATTTATTGAAAGTGAAAAGTTTAATGTTAAAAATACAGTGAGAGATATTAATAGTATTATTAAAATGATGTATGAAAGAGGAAATACAATTAAATAGTTATCCTGAATTTAAATTATAACCATACTATGATTATATCATTTATACCCTTATATGTTATAATTATAATGTAAGTATAGCGTTTTATATATTGAAGATAAAATCCTACAAGGTGGGCCATGCGCAACTCCGGAATATCAAAAGGTTGAAAAATGATTAATTATTAAGTCTTCTCATTGAATTATTGAAAATGTTGTTTCTTATTGAATAATTCTTCTTAAAATGATATATATATTTATCTCTTTTGAAAAAAAATATATTTTCTAAAATATTTTGGAAAATGTGTGTTTTTGAAAATGACAATGTTTAGGTGTATTGAGTTTTTCAAAAAATAATTTATTTTTCGTTTTGGTATGCTGTACTAAAAAAATATTTATCAAAATGTTTTAGACTGTTTCAAACAATGTTTTAAAATGGCTGTTTTGGTGCGCTTATTCAAAAAATGCAAAAAATCCTAGGGTAGACCCTAGACTTTTGAGTCCGAAAAAAGTTGCGCATGGCCGTACCTAACTTTGATTCCCCATTCTTTTCAACCATCGTTCTTTCCGAAAACCGGCCGTTTTCCCTGGATTTCCGGAGGTTTTCTAGAAAGAAGGATCATGGGAAAGAATGGAAATGGAAGGTACCCCTACAACAATGACACACCCCATTGTGTTGCCGATCGCTTCCATTGGAACAAGACTTCCGCTTTTGAGATGCGGACCCCGCTCGGTTCAGAAAGAGTAGACACGGAATCCTCGCAGCAACCCCAAAGGCTGCCAAAGGCTTCCGTCGCCCGCGCCTTCGCCTAGATCGAGCCATTGCAGCTGATGCGAACTCGTGATGCCCAGCTGCTCCCGAGCCTCGGTCTGGTCGGTTCCCGAAATGGATGCAGGGCTCTGCCCTATACATCTATTATATAAACAAAGACAGAGAGAGGGGAGGCATCTATATATCCATGCATATATATATGTATACATATATATATATACATATTTGTTTTTGTTTGTATATGTATTGCAGGCAAGTACATGCACTTAAAATGCAAAGGTGTTGTTGTTGGACCCGTCTTACTTGCAAGGCAACCTGTCCAGAAATCAACAGAACCCGGGCAAAAATGTTCCCAAACGTTTGTCTCACATGGCGCAAGGATCCTTCGACAAAGTTGACGCAGGCTGAGAAAAAGGGTTCGTCACAAGCTTCCCATGCACATATGCACATATAGATATGTGTGTATGAACATGTATATATGCATAATATGATCAATTGTCATGCAGCGGACTTTCACAATCAAAACTCTCAAACAAGGGTCAAAAAGTCGCACTTGGCAAGCCTGCCCCATTCTTCTGTCATGAAAGTTGCAGTGAAACACTCGCAGCCATGGGCTCTATCTGTGATTGTGCTTCTTGAATTAAAACTTCATTGCAGTGTCCAGTTCGGCAAACAAATGTGGCTGAGCCCCTGGCTCGCTTTAGCTTGTGCGACCTCAGCCCACGCTGTTTGGAGAGGTCATGCGGTAGGAAAGTGTAGATCCCACCGCCGATGCAAACCATTCTTGACCACGGCTGAAAAACTCTACAGCACTAGGATCCCACCTCATCTCCAAATAAAGGTGCGTGGATGCAAAAGTAAGGGGGGCAAAGGCTGCTTCCCTTGCATGAAAGCAGATCAAAATGCAAAGGGTGTATAAGATGATGTGAACTCGAAAACCCCAGAATTGCAACAAAAACATCAAAGTCGGATTCTGCCAGACTTGTCCACCTGACAAGCACCGACAGATTGGTCGCCAAAACTGCTGCTTGGTCAGTTCTCCGGAGCCTACCATCCTTCCCACAAACGACAGGGGATATTCAATCTTCCGGAAGGTCGCTTGATACACTAGCGTTAAGAGATATGGGCTATCATGCCATGAAGTGAAGGAAGCGTTAGGGAGTACAGTATCCTTGCTCATTGATTCATCAGTTGGAAGGTTTCTAGCCGGAACTTTGGAATTGTGGCAGCTCGCTAGGCTGTGTTTGGGAAGTGGGTGGTTTTTGCACATCTGCAGGAACTGCTCCAATGCTTGTCTGACAACTGGGAACACGGTACCCCCGGGCCCCTTGAATACAGCTACTCCAGAAAGGGAACATGCATAAAAACAAAAAAAACAAGTGGTGTTGTCCAAACCTGTCTCATCAGACCTATGCTCAGTGGATAACATGCCCCAAACCGCTGCAGCCAGGCAGCAAAAGCAGATAGTCTGGGCGCTCGTTGAAGCGCATGCGCCTGAAAGCTGAAAACAACTTATACAGGCTGAGGGGCGACCAGGGCTTCAAGCCACATCCCGGACTTAAAGGGGCCACTACGCACCATGTCTGCTGGTTTTGACACGAAACCCCACTCAAAACAAGAACGCATCGTTGGAGGTCTGGGAAGGTAAAGGTGCAAACTCTGAGTTGTGAGAGCTGCGGCACGCGGATTGAGCTGGGTCGCTGATACAACATCGTGGGCTTGCATAAGCGTGACCATAACGCAAACTGAAACGAGCACTTAATCTTTCTGGTTCAAAAACATCCCGCCGGCTCAATGCATAACTGCCGCACAAGAGCAAACGTGTCAGTAGAGGCACGCGGCTTTGGTGAACAACCCTAGCGTTGCGGTTAGAGCAAGGCGCGGAGGGGGGGATTTGGGTCAGAGTCGGCCGCCTCGCATGCCACGCCTCAACCCATCCTAGATCAACGGATTACATGCATTACTTTCTTCGGAGGGCAATTTTGTTCAGCGGTGTGTGCTGTTTTGTTGTTGGTTTTTGGTTTGCTGCGCTGGCTTTGTTTTTGTGAGTTGTTGTGGCTTCTGGTGGCTTTTGTGGCTTTGGCTTTCCACTTGCTCAGCATCGCTTGTTGTTTTCTGTAAATATGATGGCCGCAGTGATGTCTGCAAATGGGAATCTTGAGCAGAGGGTGTTTTCCCCTTTCAATGCTCTTTCCACCCCCTCCCCCAAAACACACACACACACACACTCGCAAAAGACACACCGTGGCTGAAACTACCGGGACGCTCCTCGAAAGGAGCTATGCGGCCCATCATCTTGCGAAGGCGTTCAAACAAAAATAGGTACATCGCCAAACGTCCCTGGCGACATCTTAGAGCGCTGTCAAGAGCTTCGTTGGGCGCAGCCTGACAGGTTCCGTGCGCCCTCTGCAATAATCACACACTCGGTGTCCAGAATTGGTTGTTTCGCAGCTTGAGCCTTGCCCCCGCACCGCAGTGTCTTTGTTATCAGACTGTTCTCACACACGCACCCAAGCTATCCCAAGTTCATACGCCGGAAATAAGCACGTCCGGGTAAAGAACCTTCAGAAACGGTGAGCTCTTGTTGCCCCGCCCGGATGCGCTTGTTCTTCACCCTGTGATTTCACCTCATCTTGCCCTCCGGAAGCGCTTTGCCGCCTGCCGTAGCCCAGCAGGAAGCCGAAGGCTTCAGGCATTCCTTCCTCAGCAGGTCAAGGGCAAGTCCAGTCAATGACAGCCCAAGGAACCGGTTTTGAACTCCAGTCTACTGACCTCGCAAGGCGCCCCTAGAAAATCCCAACGCACCTGAAATGCCATTTAGGCTTACGCAAGAGTTGCTTGGGCGTTTTCCGGGGTGTGGATATGTAGGTCAAACTTTTGGGAAACGCATGGTTCATATTTGAATGGGCGCATCTCGACATCTGCCTTTACAGGCACCAATGTCACCTTGAAAGCGCGACAAGCTAGACGCAACAACCTAATGGGAGCTGCAGGCTACCGTTGGTTGGACCGTCGGCGGCGATAGGAAGTTCGTCATGTGCAAGCAAAAATAGCTTTCTACTGACAGGTGTCACAAAGACTGCTGCAGCCCTCAAACTGCTAACTCTCAAACACAGCGGAGTTCGGTTTGGTGGTTTGAGACGCATGTCGAGCTGCCAGATTGCAAGGCGCCTCCGGCAAGTCAGCTGCCAAATCCAAGAACCTTTGCACATAGGACGGCATAAGCACCCCGATAACACACAAAGCGGCAGTAATCGAAGTAGGACTGTTCGTGCGATTGCTGGCTTACTCGGGTTGCTTGGGCATTCAGCTGTTGCAACACCTTCCTAGAAACGGCAGTGAACACATTGAACGGATTCAGCGTTTTGCAAGTTCAAATATGCAGTCTACTTCCAGACCCGAAACAGAAACAGGGCATGCAAGTTTGGGTCTACGTACCCGTATGTACTTGGCAAGCCAGTCCAAAAACTTCAAGCACTCAGCCGTACAGTACAAAGAAACGGCCACTTGTTGATGATGCCGCGAACGCAAGTCTGGGGATCTGGGTACACACTTTGTAATATGTGACAAGTCGGAAATCAGACCCGGGGCGGCGTCATAGCTATGTCCGCCCCGGATGCTGATACAAACGAGCCGCTTTGCGGTGCTGGCAAAGGCTGCTTGATCCTGACCCCCCTTGCTAATTAACGAGGAGCTTGCTATAGGCGGCGCATCTTTCCTCAAAGAGAGACCTGGTTGCAGTCTTACTCACATTCTGCCTCTGATTCATTCCCCGCATGCAACATGGTGAACAAAAACGGCTCATGTCCTGCTTGCCATACCGAGTAGAAACCCGTACTCGGAAAATGCTAATCAGGGGGCCCAACCAGCAAACGCAAATGGGTGCATGCAAATACGACTGAAACACTAACCAAAATGGGCCGGGCGGCCTTTCTAATTTCAAGCCCTCAGGTGTCCAGAGATTTTGCCCACTGGCCGGCCCACCATTCTGGGGCACCCATGCGCAAAGCTCATCTATTGGTGTGCTTTCCTTCCTCAGTCGGCCAGATAGGCAGGTGGGTCCATGGGGCCGTCCTTAAGCCCTAGGATAACTTCCAGTTGCCTAAGCCCCCTGCAAAAAACCAAACAATATCCAGTAGTGAAAGATTCCCTTTAAAGCCAACAATGGAAAATAACAAAACTGTTCTTAAGCAAAACAAATGGAATATATTTTGACTAAAATGATGTACTTCACTCCTAGGTGCCTGACAGGCCTCCAATCTCCAGTGGACATTAGTCAGCCTCAAACATCTAGAGGGCAAAATTGACCTGCATGCGGATGTCATGCCCTAGCTGCAGAAAAGGAGCCGAAAGTTGTTGGTACTGCACTGGATTTGCATAGCACTCACACAAGCTTGTTTGTAGTTTGCATACATAGGGATTGGCAATATCTTCATGACTCACGAATGATTACAGCAGGGCAGTCTGGCTCAACCTTTGCGTCATCAGAAGGCCTTTTGTTGCTAGCAAATCCATTTTTGCTCCGCAACCGCAGCTGACCTTGTGACCTTGCCATACCTGAGCGAGCCAGCACATAAAAGCAAATACCATACTGGAAGCCCTAAAAAAGTGTTCCCAACGCGGTGGCCACGAATGCCGTCACAGGCTTGCCGCCTATCCGGATGGAGAGGGAGCCATTGATCACTTCTGTGGCGATATGAGTCACAATCAAAACCTGGTATTAAGAGAGAGCGGGTGTTGGTGGGGATGTGACTTGTGATGGGAAATTATCAGGCACAGTGGCACACTTTGCTTACTTCTTCTTTTCCTTTTTTGTTTTTACCAAAACGATGCCGGGAACTGGGCGAAAAATGGTCTACCCAAATGCATGTAAGGAACTCAAAAGGTGCCGCACGGAAAGCCCCTCGAGTTCTTGGTCTATCAGGTCAGGTGTCTTCTTGCCGATCATCTCGTACTTCTCCTTCTCTGTCTTGGCGCCCTGCGCTGTGGCGCCATGCGCACTCTGAACACTAGCAGGAAACCACACAAACAAGGAATCCTGCACAGGGAATGTTCCTTCGGAGGATGCTCCATCGAGTTCCACGGTACTTCGTCCTCTTTTTCAAGGAGGTAAGCGGCCCAGAAACACCAACCCATCCCGGCACGCTGTTGCTCATGCAGCTGTCCGACAGTGATAGCTGATTGTTATTTTGAAGAGCTCTACTCACAGAGTTGATGCTACGGAGCTTTTCGCCCTAGACACTTGGTACTGAGCCTCAGTGGAATGCCAAGGGAAAGGTGCGGCTGCTTCTGGTATAAAGCCCCCAATGCATCCCAACATATGGGTATGTGTTTTTTTGACGTGGCCGTGCCGGGAGGTTGGCATAAGGGGTATGAATCGCAGGTATGGTTCGGGGTATGGCTCGGGGGTATGATTCGGGGTATGGCTCGCGCGCCTCTGAACTCTTGCTTTGTGGCTTTGGACACTGCAAAGCTCCCGTGCGCTGGCAACTGGATAGCTGTGAGAATTTGGACCGCTTAGTTGCTGCAAGCCAGCCTGGGGCGCTTGTGAGTGGCCTGAACTGAACAGCTGCCACTCTGTCGTGGGTGGGTTAGCGAAAGCTGCGGAAGGCGCAGAGCCACTGCTTGAGGCGAACGTCATTGCCACCTCCACTTGGAGTTCAAGCGACCCGCGTGCTCACAGACCCAAGCAAGCGTTGCTTAAGGGGAAGCGCCGCTGCCCAGTCAGGCCCGCCACCCGCACCAGTCACGAACCAGCGTAAGGGCAAGACAGCGTGACATCCTCAAACAGAAGCCGCGCAGAGGCTAGTGGGCCTCTCACAGGTGGTGTACCGTCTCGCGCTTGATACATCGCAGTAAGCCTTCCGAACCCACCTTCTGGCGAACTTCTGCGAAAAGAGCCGCGAGCTGGTTTCTGCAGTGCTTCTCTTTGAGTTTTGTGTCTTCTGAGGATTTGGGCGGCATAGCTTCGCTAGTACTGCCCAGGCTCTTGGCTGCAAATGGCAGCAGAAGGGTATGAATCGGGGTTTGAATCGGGTATGAATCGGGGTATGAATCGGGTATGAATCGGGGGTATGAGTCGGGGGACAGATTTTTTTCGACCGGAAAGACACCAAGAGTACCCCAGGAGCACAAAGACAGTTTCACTGCAACAGTGGCCCAGGACAGACAGCTGTTTCCACCGCGTCGGACAGACTGGTCGGACAGACTGCAGGAAGAAAGCTCCAAGTTTCAAGCTCAGCAGCGGCACCCCCCGCCACAGCGCCCTGCAAGTCCCAGCGTCTTACGTCAAGCTGCACCCCCCGCCACAGCACCACGGATGCTACAAACAACTCTACTACCAGGACATCCGCAGGATTGCTTTATAACTCCGTCCATTGGCACTTTCCATTGAAAATAGCAAGACGAGACCGAGGTGGGTACTCGAGTGTCAAGGAACACCACTTGAGCCAAAATGGCCCCCCACGAGTAACCAGTGAGCGTGTGAGCGGACATGTCAACTGTACTTGGCCCCATGACATCAGAGCCCGACCATGCAAGCATCGCAGACTCAAGACTAGATCCACAAGTGAACCAGGTATTACCTCGGAGTCCCTACCCCCTGGCATCGGTCCACATGTCAAGCTCTCTAACACTGTTTCTTGACAAGGCCCCCTTCTTCACTTGAAGTTAAACCCCCTATAGCTTCCAGCTATCCATGGATCACATGCAAATGCCACAGTTCTTGCAAGATCCTTTTTTGTGTTTTTTTTAAGGGGTATGACTCGGGGTATGGCTCGGGGGTATGGTTCGGGGTATGATTCGGTTGTATGGCTCGCCCAAGCCCCACCTCCCACGAAGACTAAAGAACTGACACGGTCAAAAACACAGACCCATATAGTTCACACATTGCTTGTCCGCTCGTGCATCAGCGCATCCTGGGTTGCTCCAGTACTCTTCTTCTATGGTTTCTACGGGTTGCCCTATGGTGTGACGTTTGGCTGACCCAAGCGTCAAGTGTGCTTGGTTTTCCTTCCTGCTTGTGATCCCTTCTGCGCCATGAGGTGTGGTCGCTGTGTCTGCTGATTTTCCTCCTGTTTCTGGACGTTCCCGTGTCCCAAGCAGAAGCACCATGCACAAGCACCGCCCAGCGCAAATCGAACAACCAAACCTGATGTGGCAAATGCAAAGGGTTGGTCGGGAGTTGCGAAGCTGTGACTAGTTGGCACTAGTAACAAAGGATCACGACGTGCAGCCCATCCGACCCCCGGAGATTGATTGGTGGCAGCCATAGCTGCCAACGTGCACAATGTTGTGATGCAACCTACTGGGAAACTCCACGCAGAGACGGGCCTAGTGCCCACCCTAAACCATAAACCAACCCTGCACCGAACTTAAACACACCTCAAACCAACCCTAAACAAATCTTTAAACAAACCTTTCAACCAACCCTATAACCCAGCCTGAAACCAACCCGAAGCCAACCTTTAAACCAAATGTAAGAACCCTACACCACCCCAGCACAACCTTAAACCAACCCTCAAGTCACGCGCAAACCCACCCTAAACCCACACTAAACCAACCCTTACCAACCTGAACCGACCCTCAACCCACCCTAAACCAACCTTTAAACCGACCCTCCTAAACCAACCCTACACCAACCCTGAACCAAACCTACACCAAATCTTAAACCAAGGAAAGAGAGGCGCTTCTTTGGATGCCGGGAGAAGGAGGCCGGAGAGTTGCGAACGTGGCCGGCACTTGACCTTCCATGACCTCAGTGATGTTTTGAAGCCCTTGCGGTCACGTTTCGTCGTTGGCTTTCTTGGTTGGCGGCAGTTGCCGCTGCTGCACCACTGCCGCCGCCAACTCTGCTGACTTTTGCGATCGTAACTTTGGATTGACTTCTGCTCTGTCTTCACCCGAGCTGCCTTTGTTGCTGAAACAGGCTGAAACCTTATGGGTGAGCACGTGCTGATACGTGCTGCCATTCTTGTCTGGTTGCGGCTTGCCATTCCGCAAGCTTCAATGTTGACAGCATGCGCCAGGATAAATGCTTCCCCAGTATTGGTTGACCCCGTCTTGATCCCTGACGAAAACACCCCACTCGGGCACCACCAGCAGCGAAGGTCTGACAGCGTTTGCGGCGCTTGGCGCCTTCGGCGATCGAGGCTTTCGCCACGTGCGTCTTTCCTTTGTTGGTGCCCATTTTGGGGTTGATCTAACGGAAAACCAAGTAGACCCCTCCATTCACACCCTGGTGAGCGCCTTAAGGCCTGACCAGGGGAGAGCGCCCCGCAGGAAGTAGATCAGCATGTGCGCGATCGCCTGGATCCCCCGAGCCCGGCTTTGCTTCGTAGGATGCTCCAGGTGAACACGTCTGGAACGAGTCGCTTGATTGGTGCATAATTTGTGTCTTACATGTTCTTGATGGTCCCACATCTTGACTACATCTTTGTATGGGCCAACCAACTATGGTGAAGCCCATGCTGAATTTGGAAGTGGCGTTGGGCCAAGTTGCGGTCGTGGCTCCAAACCAGTCTCCGTTTGCTGATGGAACAAGAGCTCGCACGCAGGGCAATCTCGGGCAGCACAACAGCGCGACACTAAGAATTGCATACATGGCACCCCGTCCCAAGCTTTCACAATTGGAGTCTGAACGCTGGGTTGGTCAACATCCAAACGCTCCATCTCAGTACTTTCGATTTCAGCTAAGACGTGGTACCAAAGCCAAATTTGCGCTGACCATGATGCCTGGAGCTAGCATGGCTGTGCTGCCACAAAGGGTGCCTCTGCTTCAAGCTCACAAAGTGTGGGCATTCTAGCCAATGCAATGAGATTGACATGGACATTTATGCCATAACAACAGTTGTTTTTCCTTGCGAATGGCGCAGGCCCCTAGTCCCTACAGGGGGCATCTCTCTGGGGCATCTGGCAATTTGAAGCAGATCAGTCACCGGTCGAAAATCAGAATCCAAACGAAAGGAACCTTCAAGGGTGGTGCAACCTGCCCCAAGAATCGCTAGGATTTGCCCAAAGTGCCTGGTCCTTCGCGAAATGACCCGGTCCCAGTGCAGAATGAAATGTATCTAAACACCGCAAGGAGATCAAACCTGTGTCCGCGGTGGCAGCAAAGGGCGTTCCAACAAATTATAGAAGTCCAATCAGCGGCTACTACCCATATCCATCTGCATGCCGCAATTCTCTTGTAGAGGGAGAATCAAGCCCTGGATCTATAATAGCTAGTTAAGGCTTTAGGCATATGTACCTCGACCGAAAACACAGCGTCTCAGGTGCAGGAATCCACCCTCCATGAGTTCCAAAGACAACAACTCCGATTGACTGCACAGTATTCCACAACCATTTATGGAATTCTGGATGGCAGTGGGAGATGACAACCAGGTTTTACTTGATCATAATACCGCAGCTGTTGCCAGCAACTAGAAGGCGCTTTTCACAATTTATTATGGTGCATAAGGGATTTTTAGTGAGCCTTACGAACGCAACATGGAAGGCACCCTCCTGGCTGGCTCGGATCGTCTGAACGCGCGGGTGGCTCGGCCTCCAAGTCATCCCGACGCGTCTGGTTGATGCCCTGCATGGCCAGCATCGCTCATAAGTAATGGGACTCTAAACCTGGGACACTGGAAGCCGTTTGTGGATCCCCCGTTAAGGGCTTCTTGGATAGGATCTGATGTTGTTACCAAACCCATAGACTGAGTCAATGTTTTGACATGGGGGATCTGCCACCCTGTGATCACGCCTGGGCGAAACCCACAAGCCACATAACCTAAAATCAATGATGTGAAAAAACAAAAAAACAGCTGTGCAAATCAATCTGGGAGTGACTTCGTGCGCCCGGCGAGCATGTCAAGCGGCCCTTGGACCGCGTGTGTCTATGCCATGCAAAGGACCATAGGATAGTTTGAAGCCACCTACTGGCGCTCATACTCATGCACGTGGGTGCTTGGCAGCTGCAGTGCAGCTGCAATTTTCACGGGTGCCTTCTGCGCCACAGCACGTTCCCGAGGAAGATTAATGCACATGATTCAGGTTGACAGTGCTGACAATGTTTATGTCAATGCTCACTGCTTGCTGACCTGTGGTCACGGATGAATAACTGAAAACCGTGCAAACATCCTATCGCAGCAATTTATGCCAACGGCATTCACAGAAATAAAGTCAGTCCTTAGCTAGTTTCAAGACTAGTGCCCTATTGTGTGATGACCCCCCCCCCCCAAAACAAAAAAAAACATGGCACGTGTGGCCAGTGCGGAACGTGTGTACGCATCATAAGGGTGGGTACGAGGCGCAGGTGCGAGGATCCCACAAAAGCCTTTGACAGCCCACCGCCTTGTGCGTGTTGATGGAGCAGTAGCGGGCGGTGCCCACCATGCTGTTCCCCGAGGTCATGGGCACGTGCTTCCTGCCCAAAAGAACCACCCAAAGATCCAAACGCCCCACCAAAACAAGTGCACACCCCAGGAAGTGAAGGGAATAAGTGTTGGCAATGTTGCCGCCCCTGTGCTTCGTACTTGATGGATGCTTCCAACCATCTTGAAACATGGCGTTTGGATAATCCAGCTTGCCATAGAACCCACCCATCCATGATCCCCCTTCATAGCGCTGGAGCCGGAAATCGCTGGTGGCCAGCGATTTAAAGAATGCATGAAGGGAAAAACACCCGCCCACAGAAAGCGCGGAGCCTGGACCAGTAAACCTCGCTGAGTCCAAAGTCGATGAGGTGCAAATGATGGACCTGTCAAGCCAGTCGCCCGGCCCGGACGAGTGAGATGTTCAGCGTGTTGCTTAGGGCAGAACGGAGCGGCTTCAGGGCAAACGCCAGAGAAGGAAAGCGCAAGCGAGCATAATCGAGCAGTTGCGCTCAAGGCGCTCCCACATCGAAAACAAGAAGACACTCACTCAGTGCCCAACTATCGGCAAAGCTTAGCGCACAAGTCAAAGAGTGGATCCTGCAACAAGGGTGGGGGTTGTACCCGTGCTTAGCTGGCCAGTTGCCGTTTGAGTGCAAGGTGATTGAAGTTCAAAGCCGCCAAATCTAAACAGAAACCGGATGCTAGAGGGGGGCACCCAAGCATGAAACCCATCGCCAGCCAAAAGGCAAAGGTGTGATCGTATCTAAGTTCAACTGGACTTTCAACTGAGGAATGGGAGATGCATCGCAGGTGTTGCGGAGGTTTGCTTTGACAAACCCCGATTCATGACACTGGAGATGCAGCGCCTTGTCGCCCAAGCCGTACATGAAGTTCTCGGGCTTGATATCTCTGTGAACCACTCCTTTGGAGTGCAAATACCTCAGAACAGGAGGGAGCTAGATTAGACGAATGCCGGCCGGGCCAGATGGAAGAATCGCAATAATTCACGGAATTCTGTCCCAACCAGCGGAGGCCGAAGGCCACACCACCCCGGCAACAGAAAACCATGAACCCCGCTTAAGGTGTCGTGTTGTCCTGACGGTCCTTTGAAGCTTCACCTGGGCATCGTCCGTCAAAATCCAGTGATCGTTCTCTTGAAATTGCTCCTATTTCTGCGCATGGGTTCGGACCAGCCATGAGGCAACTGAGGCGCAGGCTCGATGCGCCACAGCGCCTGCTCTGCCTCGCTCGTCCGCTGGCGTGCGCTGCATCTCGTTCGCGGCATGTCCCCCCTCAACTGGTACTTGTACCCAAAAGATTCGGTTCAACCCTGCAAGCAAGCCCAACAAAGTGCTGGTGCTGAAAGCCCGCTTGCTTGCTTTCTTTCATGTGTGTTGACACCAGGACAAATTCCAAGAAAACTCACATGGCCCCAGCGCGTCGCACGAGTGACAGTGCGACTCAGTTCGGCTGTAAGGCCCTGACAATCAGCACCTGGTGACTCGGCACTTCTGACAAGCTGGTGGAGCAGGGCTGGGCCAACGGTTTGTTCAGAACGAGTTTTTGGACAAATCTCTTTTGCGGGGACCAGGGACTGTTGATTCTGAAATGCCATGACCCGTGTGCCTTGCTAACTGCCATCATGCCCAGCCCCAGAACCATCAAACATCAAGCTTGCCAAGGCCAATGAACAATGCAAGGAGGGGGGCAGAAGCATAGTGACAGCCGAGTATCACAAGACTGCTCGCAAAAAGCAGGAAGGAACGCGTTCAGCCAACTGATTGATCGCATTCCCTGGCTAAGGGGTCATTTTTTCTATACAATGTTGTACGCCCTGTAAAGGTTGTCATTCCCATATAACGTCACGTGCGTGTGTGCAGGTTGGAACGGGGCCGCTCCTAGAATCTTTGCAGGGAGGTACGGTCTGAACCAAGGGCGCTGATCCGTAAGTTCCATCCGCATCTGCGTCTGTATCCTAGTGCCCGCATCAGTGCACGTGCCCCTTGAGAATCTGATGAAACACATACAGATTTATATATATATATATATATACGGATGTGTGTGTGTGTGCGTGCATGCGTGAAATCCAGCAGCATAAGTCCTGACCCGAGCAAGGTGCAGGTGAGCAACCAGGGCTGATTCACAGATAGTCGCCGATTTCCTAAGCGTTCCTTCTCATCCATAGTTGGGGAGCTGCAGCCACATAATCCGCCGACATTGCTCGGCGTGTCGGACACCTAAGAGAGGATAGAGTCCCACACGTACCGCGCGGTAATTTGATGACGTTCCACTAAACGTAGCCTTTGGGGAGCCAGTGTCGCGCGCCAAACAGGGGTCCCAGGCTCGAATCCCCCTGCCGGCTCTTCCGCTGGAAAAACCGTGTTTTTTGTTTTTTTGCGGGAAATGCTGGGGAGCACAGGGGAAATGCAAGGCAGTGCAAGGAAATGAGGAGAGGAAATAGGAAGTCGACATGACAGGAAGGCAACGGGAAATGAAAGGGAAACAAAGGGGAATGCAGGGGGAATGAAAGGGAAACAAAGGACAAGGCAACCAATCGGCACGACGCGAGATGTAGGGAACTGACTCGCAGCGAAAGAACGGGGCATGCATGGAAAATCAAGCGGACATACCGAGAAAATGACAGGGACATGAAGGGGGAGCTGAAGGGAATGGAAGGGACATGGCCAGGACATCATGGGAAACGTGAAAAGGACATGAAGGGGAAACCAAGGAGAAAGCCAGTAGTGAGATGACAGCTCAGGGACATGAAGGGGCAGTGCCCGGACATCGAGGCAACTCAGGGGGACGTGACACTGCAATGAAGAGAGAGAGAGAGAGAGAGAGAGAGAGAGAGAGAGAGAGAGAGAGAGAGAGAGAGAGAGAGAGAGAGACAGAGAAAGAGAGAGAGCGGGAAAGAGAGAGAAAGAGACAGACAAAGAGAGAGAGAGAGAGAGAGACACAGAGAAAGCGAGAGAGAGAGAGACACAGACAGACAGAGAGAGAAAGAGAGACAGAGAAAGAGCGAGAAAGAGAGAGAGAGAGAGAGACACCAGGTCCTCCAGTAGAGAGGTTAGAATAAGGGTGCCCTTTTTCTGTAGAGGGGCGTGGACAGGAAGGAGACAGGGAGACAGAAAAAGACAGAGACACTGAGAGAGAGAGAGAGAGATGGAGAGATAGAGAGAGACAGAGACAGGGAGATTGAGGAGAGAGAGGCTTGGGGGGATGGGGAGGATGGGGAGCAGAGGGAGGGAGAGAGGACGACAGAACACGCGGGGGAGGAGACAAGGGAGAGAGGAAGAAGGAGAAGATGGAGAGGACAATGTCGGCGGACTGAGCTGGAGGCTCTAAAGCTCTCAAGTCAGCTCAGAAAAAAGGTTGAGGCACATGTGAGCCGACCCTAAGGATACTCTGGTCTATCTTGTGTCGTTTGTGCCTCCGTGTTTACACTCCCGGAAGTTGAAACAGAATCCCCAAGCCGAACAGAATAAGTAGTATGACAACTGGCTGTTTCCTGGAAACTCGTATTGTTGGCCTATTGCCCACGCGGCACCGCGCTGACGGGGTCCATCTTGCCCTTGCAGTCCTGGCGAAGCGGGTACTCACACATAGCGCTCTATTTGAAATCTGCAAACCTGGTAAATATGCTTCATATGGTGACCATATATGGAGGTTTGTCCAATTAGGGACCGTCTGCCGTTGAAACGCGGCAATTTCAGCACCAGGTTCCTAAACGAGCCCTGCGATGTGGGGGTGGTAGAAGCTATCTTAGACAAACCGGTGAATTCTAGTGAAAGGGGTGCCAGTAAGGGGTGCGCCAGTGTAGGGGCGCTGTCCGTCAGCAGCTGCGACAATTGTTTGCTCAACATCAATGCACGGACACGCTTGTAGTTGGTTGGCTTGTGTGTGTGCCTGTCTGTCTGTCTCTGTCTCTGTCTCTCTCTCGTCTCCGTCTCCGTCTCCGTCTCTGTTTCTGTCTCCGTCTCTGTCTCTGTCTCTGTGTCTGTGTCTGTCTCTGTCTGTCTCCGGCTCTCTGTGTCTGTCTCTCTGTCTGTTTGCTTCTCTGTCCGTCTGTCTCTCTGTCTGTCTGTCTCTCTGTCCGTCTGTCTCTGTCTGTCTGTCTGTCTGTCTCTCGGTCTGTCTGTGTGTGATTGTCTGATTGTCTGCCTGCCTGCCTGCCTGCATGCTGTCTGGGCGCGTGCGTGCGTGCGCATGCATGCGCTTTTGCGTGCGTGTGCGTGCGTGTGCGGGAGCGCGTGCGCGTCTCACACAGCTCGTTACCAGGGCAATAGTTGCAAGGATCCAACAAACCTAAAGTGTGAACTAGTGTGACTTGCAACCACTTGCTCAGCCCAAAAAAAGACCCCAGGCGTACCTTTACATGAATAAATGTTGGTATGTTCAGCCTGGCGTTTACGTACCTGGATCACGAACCTTCCAGCGGCCAAGCTTCGAAACAAAACATGTTCTACCTTCCGCTGAACGCTGGCCCATCGCAAGATTGGGTCATTGCCAGCGCCTACCGGCAAATTACTCCCTGTGGTGGAACTGTAGTTGCATGGTGTAGGCTGTTTATGTGGCATTTTCACCTGCAGGTGACAAAGCAACCTCCGGCCCTACTTGGCTGGCCCCACTATGGGAAAGCGTGGGCTAGACATGCGAGCTCCTCCCTGGCTTATCCACTCATGGCACTTGAAAGGCGAGGTTCCAAAATGTCAAATCTATCGCCCAGGGAAGTCATGACAGTCATGACCCCTTTTTCAAGCGTCGGCCGTTGGTACTGCGGATGCCCCTCTAGCATTGACAGGTGCTGGAGCGCAGAGGCTGGACCTGAAAGGTCGGCCCCTTGAAAAAGCGGCCAGCCGTGTAAGGTGCACAGGCTTTGAACTAAACAGCTTTGGATCCCATAGGGCCAAGAGCGGTGAAATCTCTGTAGCCAAGAGGAAGATTTAAGCAATCAGCATCCTACATGGAGTGCCAGCCTGAGGTCTGTCCTTGCGAAGCCGCAGGCATGTCCAAAACCAGTGCTTCTGGGATTTGCATCTCCGGCCCCCGCTCCCTGCCCAATTGGTCACGTCCCACCCCCTCCGCCCAGTGCCGAGGTCCTCCATGCACTGCTCCAATGACCTTCCGGACTGGCAATTGAGCTGCGCCCTTGATCCAACTCGTGTCACCCTTGCGAGCCCCAAACCTGTCGTGATCAGTCAGTCACCATGCCCAACATTGCAAAACAAAAACAATAAGAGCAATTATGAAGCAGGAAGCCTGAGTGGATGTTGTTGGGGATGGTCTCACTACTCCTGAGCCCAGGGCTTCTAAATCTGGGAAACGATGCTGGCATCCGAGTCATTCAGGACTAGTCGACTTGCAAAATCACGTGCAAAGAGCACAAGGCATAAAGCAAAAGCGGTGCTGCGAATGACCTAAACGAGTCACGCCCTCTTCCCTGCAAGGGATTCTTTGAACAGATTCGGCTGTAGAAAGAATTGAATGAAATGCCTCTGAGCCTCTTGACCGCGCGACTATCCAATCTGGGGCACGGACTTCCCCAAGAGCTCCATGACCTCAGGCGTGGGGTCCCGAACTGAGACGCACCGTGGGACTAGCAGCACGTGCTCAGCCCTGGGATCACAGCTGGAGGCGCTGAAAAATCAGTCGGCCCCGTTGCCGGTGTGGTTCTGTGCTGAGGCCACTCGGGCATCTCAAGCGCATGCCTAGGAAAAGGGAGATATAATTACTTTGTTTTTCCCCTGATTGTCTGCCAACAGCAAGGGTGTTTACAGCTTGGGGTCAGAAGCATGCCAAACATAATTAATCTGATCTGCGGTCGATGCAGCTTTGGCCCTTGAGCACAAGATTTGGCAACCATGCCACATGCCATTCAACCCCAACTGAACCTGTTTCAGCAAGGCTGCCTATCCAAAAATCGAGGCAAACAAGAAAACGCAAGCATTGGGAGCAAACTGGTATGGAGGCCGGGGTGGCAAGTGTCTCCGCGTATGCTTCATTGCTTCATCAAATGGAGGCCGGCCATGCTGGAGAACATGTCGTGTGGAGGGGGGGGGGGGCAAAACGGAGACTGCCTGGGCCTCCGGGCAAGGCAGGTGAAGGAGCCGATGCGGCCAAAAAAGAAGACCTGCCGAAGGAGCAGGCGGGGCCGGCGGGGCCGGCGGGGCAGGCGGGGCAGGCGGGGCAGGTCGAGGAGGCCGCACATTGCGCCTTTGGCAGCGTCAATTAAATAGTAAAAAGTTTCTTCAAAAAAACAACAACACACTCTCTCTCTCACCCTCGTTCTCTCCCTCTCCCCTCGCTTGCCGCCCCATCTGCTCCTGCATCTTCGGATGAGCGTTATTTTGCGTAAGTTCCAGTATTTGATACACTTTCTGCTCTCTCGAGCGTTTTCTGATGAATCGAGCGCTTTTTTGAAACGATCGTTTTTTTTGGGACATGGTGTGAACCATGGCATGCATAGAAGCCGCGGCAGCCAGCTCAAAGCGGTATGGCATGGTATGCCATCTTTTTGACCGCCCTGGCGTGCGCCACTGTGCGCCGCTTGTGTGTTGCACAGCTCCTCGCCGCCCGACCACCTGGCGCAGGTACGTTGCTGGGGCGAACCAATGTCTGAAGAAGGAATTCCTGGCTGGTTATGGGCAGCTTTGCCGGTTGCATGGGGATACCTGCTGTCTTGGCACAACTTGGATTACCAGCATTTTTCGGCTCTGAGCGACATCTTTGAGGCTGCCATGTTACGAAACCCTGTTGTGGCCGGGGTTGTCGACCTGTGGAAACAAGATGATGAGCTAGTCCAACATGCAAGCGGTCTCAAGATGGCTTGGACTACGGGAGTAGTGGACCGGCAAGCCCTGATTGACAACGCCAACGTAATCAGCCCGGTTCTTCGACACATGGGCTGCCCTGCTAAATTTGCAGCAATTTCTCAAGTTGCAAGCAAGCCCCTCCTGAATTGCAGATGCTTGCTCGCGCCGAGGCTTGCGAGTCTCCATTGACATGCTCCAGGCAGCTGTTGATGAGTTCTTGCGGTATGCTCGCCCCAGAGGGCGGCCAATGCCCACACGCCGAAACCTTAGGTGCATCTTGACCCGGTTGTCTGGCATGCCCTACCATCTAAGGTGGTGTTGTGAACACGGAAGCTTGGATCCTCAGACGCCTTGTGGCCTTGTTTAGCCGCATTGCCAAGAGACCCCACCGGCCAAGAGAGCCAGAGATCCGTGCCCTCTTCATCCAAGCTGACATGGACGTGCCACCAGGCTCTTCGCTCTCTAGCATGGGCCACTTTGCTAATTTACTGCGTGTTCTCCCCACACATGTTGCCTTTGAGTCTCCCACCTTTAACCCCCCCAGGCGACGAAGGCGAAGAAGAAGAAGCAGAAGATCTAGAAGTTTCCGAATGGGAGGATGAGGGGCAAGAAAGCATTGAAGAGGAAATTGATGATGAAGCTGAAGACCCTGTGATCGAGGACCCCATGTCCCCATGTTGAAATTTTAAATGGAATGCTGCCGGCTTTGGCTTGACGAGGACCTGGAGACAAAGGAAGGCAATCCCAAAGAAGGCCTGCTCACCCGATCGCTTACCCCTTCCGTGCCCTGCCTGCAGGCGCTTGCAGTCCGGTGGCTGCTTCGGATCTCGTGACACCTTCGCCAAGAAAGGGTTTCTCACTCAGTGGGATCGACACTCCATGGTTCAGAGATCAGCTTTGAGCCAAGATTGTTTTTTTTTGGGGGGGGGACCCGTGCAACCCCCCGTTTCATATTTCCCCACACCCCCCAAATTCTGACCACGTGCTGTTTATCTGTTGGGGGGGCAAATGTTTGTGGCGCGCTTTGCAGAACGGATTGCAAGACAACATTGTGTCCCCCATGAAACCACGCTTGGGGTTGGGCAGAAGTCATCCGCTTCTTCGGGCTGCAAGATTTGATGTCCAACAGTAGCTCAACAAAGGATGACACCCTTACGGTTTTGTTTGAGCCGCTGACTGAAGTTCAAAACAAAGGCGTTTGTGAGTCCAGGCAAAACCAGGGCCCCTTTGTGAACAACTGGGGTACCAGGTTCCCTTTCCAAATGCAGCCTCAGCCCCTCGATGGAAACATGAACCAGGCGACAAAATGCTCTAGTTGCTTCTGTGAGCCATTAGTTAATTTTGGGTGCCTCCCCTGAGAGAGGGTTGAAAACAATTATTGGGTGGATACGCTGATAAACAAGGTCCCCTTGTTGTCCCTCGTTGTGAGAAAACTGCACCGGCCTCTTTGAGCCATGAGCCAGGGGTGAGCATATAATTGCATGTTTTGCGTGGTGGATAAGCTGATCAAACAAGGTCCCCTTTTTTGCGAAAACTGCCGCTTCTGAGACAGGGTTGGAAGCAAGTTTATTGCCTTTTTTTGCGAGGGGTGGACACACAGATGAACAAGGGTGGATACGCTGATAAGCCATTTGTGAATACTGAATCGGCCCCTTTGTGATCCAGTGGTTACAGTCTCCAACTATGTTGTTTGTTCTGTGTCGGCCCCGTCTGCGAGCGATGGTTCAGGCCTTTTTTTGGGTGGATAGACGGCAAACCAAATCCCTTCATGAAAGCTGCGTCCCCTTCTGCGGGCCATTGGTTGCCTATGGTCTTTATTTTGTTGAGTTGATGAACTGATTATTCAACCCCTTTCTAAAAGAACTGCAACGGCCCCGACTGTGAGCCACTGGTTCGGGTTGCTTGTTTTGTGGGATGGATAAACTGGAAAACAAGGCCCCCCTTTCTGCAACATGTGAGCCATTTGTTTGTGGGTTTCATTCATAGCCTTTTTTTGCGGGGTATAAACTGAGGTCCCCTTCGTGAAAATATTAAGCTTTGTTTGCCCGATCTTTGTTGTGACCCTCTGGTTGGTGTGGAAACCACAGCCCGTATGGCGGTTGCCCCTCGAGCTGAAAATTGAGGTTGGGCTAGTGCCTATCCAGCAGCAATGAACAACACCGGTTGTTTTTGTGAGCCACAGGAAGGAACAACAGCCGGGCCCCTCTCGGAGCCATGATTGTTTTGGGTTGTGAGCCACAAGTTGGGGTCACAAGTCACAACGCCCCAGTACCCAGTTTTTTACTGTCGGTGTTTGTCTTCGTTCATGCTCCCCTTTGCAAAGAGGTCCATGTCCATCGCGGGTATATTGAACCATCTGAAGTTTCAAGTGTTTTTCTTCGAAAAGCCAGGGTCTAAAACACTCCCTTGTCAGCGTGTGATGTTTGATCTTCAAACCTTCCAGCTGAAAGTCCGGCAGGTGATGTTTTTATCCCGCCCGCGTGTGAACTGCCCAGGTCAAAATGCTGTTGACACAACCGAGAAGGTCCGGCCTGCGCACATCCCGGGGCCTGACAAGAAAGAAGAGAAGGGCCTGGACAGCGAAGCCCACGCGCTGCAGCATGAGGAAGAGCAGCTAGAGCTCCTGAAGGAGGAGGAGCTGCTCTTGCAGCTGCAGATCCAGGAGCTAAACTTACTCAAGACCCTCGCTCACTTCCCTAACGTTTGCTCTCGCGAGCATTGCGCATGCCAGGCTGTGGTGAGCTCATGCAACTGGGCCCTGACTTCTGACATGCACACTCAATATGACCAAACGTCAAATTATAGCAATGAGGCTGGTTTTCCTTTTATTTGCCATCAACCCCACAAAGCTTAAGAAAAAAGACAAGCCCATTTGCTTTTCGATCTGAAGCAACGGCTGCAACCTCTAGGTATTGACAGTGCTGACACCCTTCCCATCGACACGCATGACATCTCTATCACCGCGGCCACCTTGGCCACGGCGGAGAGCGCCTGGAAGAAGGCCGGCGAACCGTGGTTTGACCTGAGCTTGCTTTGCATCAATGAAAGCTCCGCATATTAATTACGCCAACCCCTTCCGCCAGGAATTTTGGTCTCCGGACAAGGAGCCAACACGATTAGTTGAGATGGCTGGTAGGAGGGAAAGGTTCCAAGCTGCCAGAGACAAAGACAGGCAAGAAACACTAGAGTTGCATGAGCTAGCGGCGCAGCAAACAAACAAGGATGCAGAGCAAAGCAAGATGAAGACGACGGCTAAGGCAGAAGCAGCAGCGCAGCAGAAGACAGGGAAGGCTTTGGCTGATGCAGAACAATCCGCGACGCAGGAGAACGCAGGACCGGCAAAGCAGATGGCAGCAGCAGCAACGGCGTCACCATCCACAGCACCCGCACCAGCAGCAACAGACGCCAACATTCCGCAGCAAAAGAAAGCAACGATGTGGCAGGCAGCAGCGCTGGCAGAGGCAGAGCAACAAGTGACACCAGCAGCAGCTGACACTGAAGCAGAAAACAAAGGCAAGGGAGCAGAGAAGACAGCTGCTGACGCGGCAAAGCGTGCGCTGGCAGAGGCAGCCAAACTTATGAAGAAGCAGCAGGAGGATGCAGAGCAATCGAACGAGCAGGAGATCGCAGGACCAGCGGCAAAGCAAGTGGCAGCAGCAGCAGCAGCAGCAACAGCATCGCAATCCAGAGCAGAACACCTCCCAGGTAAAGACGTGGTGAAGACAACTACAGGCAACGCTGTTCAACCAGCGGCAGCAGCAGGATCAGCATCACCATGCTCATCCCCAGCAACAGCAGCAGCAGCCGCAGCAAAGATTCCGCAGGCAGCTCTGGAAACAACTGCAACGATGAAGCAAGCAGAAGCGCTGGCAGAGGCAGAGCAGCAATCGGCGCAGGCGTCAGAAGATGCTAAAGCAGAAAACATTGTGGCGAAGACAGCTTCAGGCAACTCTGTTCAACCAGCAGCAGCAGGATCAGCGTCACCGTCCTCATCCCCAGCAACAGCAGCAGCCGCGGCAACGATTTCGCAAACAGCCCTGGAAGCAACCGCAGCAATGAGGCAGGCAGCAGCGCTGGCAGCAGCAGAGCAGCAAGTGACACCGGCCGCACCTGACGTCAAAGCAGAAACTCCCATGTCAGCGAAGGCGGGGGAAGACAACCCAGCCAAAGCAGCGGCAGCAAAAGTCGAAGAACGCTTGAAGGAGCACGAGATCGCGCAAGAGGCAGTGCAAACGCAAAAGACGCAGCAAGCAGCAGCTCGTGCGCAAGGAGACTCGGCAGCAAGGATGGAGACTGCTGTGAAAAGGAAAGCAGCAGCGGCACAGGTGCAAGCAGAATCTCAGGCAATGATTGAGCGTCAGAAAAGAACAAGAAAAGCAGCTAAGGCGGACGCCGAGCGCGCGGCAGGACAAGAGGCCACGAAGCAGCACAAAGCATCTCACGCATCAGCAGAGGCCACGTGCCAGCTACAGCAGGCAGCAGCAGCAGAGGCGGCGCACCAGCAGGGAGGAGAGCAGGCATCAGCAGGGGATGCAAAGCAGCAAATCAAGAGGAAGGCAGAGTTAGGAGCAGAACAGGAGACAGATTTGGAACCCAAAAAAGCGAAGATGGCAACGCGCGAGGCAGCAAAGCAAAAGGAAGCAGCAGGCTGTGAGAAGAGGCTTCGCACGCTGATTGCGAAAAAGCGCGAAAGCAATCACGCAGAATCAGCATCCAAGGAGGCGAGCGCGCAAGCAAACCCGCAGCAAGTTGCAAGTTCAAGCGAGGCGATGGATCGCGCAGAGGCTGAGGGCAAAGGAGAAATCGCAAAGGGCGAGCCATCTGCCAAAAGGAGGAAGGAGCAAAAAGCAGAAGAGAAGCAGTCGCTGACAGAAAGGGAGGAACAATCAGAAGCAACGGCAGTTGCTGCAGAGCATCAGCAATCTCAGTCATCGGACCCAGCGCGACCTGGTATTCTCGACCATGTCAGACCAATCTCTCCTGCAGACCAGCGGAAAGGCTGCAGCAAAGGCAAAGCTAAAGCGAAAGGCCGCGGAGGCACAGAGCGCAAAGGAGCAGGCCAAGGAGGCAGCCGCGGAGGACGCAAAGGAGCAGGTGAAGGAGGACGCAAAGGAGCAGGCCGAGGAGGCAGCCGCGGAGGACGCAAAGGAGCAGGCAAAGGAGGACGCAAAGGGGCTGGCAAGGCAGGCAGCGGCGCAAATGCAGGAGGAGAAGGAGGCAGCGTGGACGGAGGAGTAGGCGAAGAAGGAGAAGGAGGCAGCAGGGTCGCAGGAGCAGGCGAAGGGCGCGAAGGACCTGCAAGCAGCCAGCCTCAGAGAGAGAACAATCAGCGTCAGGAGCCGCCTGCGCTCACAGCAGCACAGCTGGCGCGACGACAAAAGCAATCCAGAAAGTCCTCCGCCTACCACAAAGCAGCCAAGGAAGCCCTTGCCCTCGGTTTGGGCAAGGAAGAGATCAAGGAAAAGGCAAAAGCTGTTTCTTGGCTCAGTCTAGCTCAGCCATGCATGAACGCAGTAAATGCTCGCTAGGCTTACAAGGCAGCCAACTGATGCGCTTTTGGCAAATCTTGAAGCTGCGCGGGACAGCTCAAGCACAGGCTTGTGAGGGGTTAGCTTGCAAACAGTCAAGCGTCGAGGAGCGTGCTCATCACGCTCACTTAGGGGCACAGGCCTGTCTTGTAGCATAAATATCCGTGCAGTTAGCTTCGCTATCATGCAATCCGTTTCGATCCGCCATTGCAGTGGCCAACTCCGATACTCCCATGCGGTTCAGAGAAGAAAGGTCCCTGCGTGCGCCTTGCACTGGCTTTGCCAACCAACATGCACTGCAAGAGCAGCGGTTGAGCTCCTTTAACGTTTCAAAACCGATCGACCCCTCGACGTGCCAGGTGCCCGACGCTTTCGGGATTGCGGAGGCTGGGCAAGTCGGGCTGCCATCGCAGGTGGGCCTTGCAAGTTTGCTGCAGCGATGCAATCACTGCGTGCTTGCATGCAGTTCTTATGTCTGACAGGTTTGGCTGGAGCACGCATGCGCATGCATGGACACTTGCAGCGCGAGCATTGGAGCTGCACATACAGCTGCATGACACAATTACGGGCCGGGTTCCCTGCCGCCATGGACACCCTACGTGAGTTGCAATCTCTTCGACAAGTGCAGTGCCCAAAAGTGCCTCAGCCACAGAAGCTGCATGCGTATCAAGATAGGCAAAATCAAACTCCCATCTTGCCTGCAAGCCCAGGTGCTCATCGCCCTGGCACGGTGCTCAGCAGACCGCAACTCATGCGGGTTGGTGCGTTCTCCTAGGTTCTGCTGCTGCGGTGGACAGAACTCCCACCTTGCCCCGAGTATCATTTGTTGGAAGTCTTTTCCGGCCAAGCTGAAGTCTCGCGCGAGTGGCGCCCTGGTGGTGAGTAAATGCTTTTCCCCCACAAATCCGTCACTATTTTGTCGCCAATTAGGAAACGGAATGGTTATGCGGTGGGATCCTATGACCGGGATTACCATGCCAAGGGCATGGACTTCAACAGTGCAGCCGGCATTCTGCAGCCAGCCTGTGTCAGTAGTAGAGTATCCAAACACAGAGCGTGGATTTGCGAGCTGCCTAAGGCTAGTTCTACATGTGCTGCTTCATATGGGGGCAAACAGCTGCGTGCTGTTTGCCCCAGATTGCTCTTCATGGGGCATACCAGCGCGGGGAACATCGCTTCGCTCTGAAATAAATTTTGGTGGAAACAGGGCCCTGAAATGGATCCAGGGCGCCAACAAGATGGTTAGCCGGACCCTAGGCTACATATTGCAAGCATATGGGGGCCCTAGCTCATAAACATTCCACACCTTGTGGCCCAGGATGACGCTTTGCATCCTGCTTGCTCTCAGCCGGAACATGATCTACATCATCGAGCAACCGTCCAATTCATTACTTGTACGCCACGATCGCATAGATTGGCTCTTTAACCATGTTAGCTGGGATCATTGACAGCATTGGGCGCACATGCGTTACACGCCACGCATGCTTGTGTGCTTCGCGTTCACCCCTTTGTAACCTAGGCATTTCGGTGCTTCTTTTGGATGCTCCATCACGGAGGCCAAAGCCCTAAGCGCACAATCATCTGGGCCAATATGGCACAGATTGAAGATCTAAACCTTGGCAGACTCTCGAAGAGCGATCGGGAGCGGCTCACATCAAGACGCACAACCCGTACTCTGGCTGGGTATTCTGGCATGGGTTCTGGACTTTCAAACAGACGCAAAAAAGGGTACCTCCAAAAGAAAATTCATAGAACCATCGAGGTCGCTATTATGATGGATCCGGAAAACCAAGATTTTGTGGCACCGCTGAGCTTGGTGCCTCCGCGCCGCTTCTGTTGCATTGAGCACCCGCGCCTTTTGATTATGGACAGTCCCATCATGACATGCGAGCCGAGGGCCTACCCACGGCAATTCGGGGCGAGCCTGCTCCAAGCATTCCAGCGTCACATTGACGGGCCTGCCCGGCGCGACCTGCGCTTCAAAGTGCGTGACTCTGCGACTTCGGCCATGGATTTGTTCGAGGGCCTTCCCTTGGGCGACCTTTGGGAGGAAGCAGACTTGCTACCAGCTTTCCTGTATGCTTACTCCAGCAAAAAACTCAGGCAGGTCTGTAGGGTTTGGCAAAGTATGTTCTGCGACATTCTGCGCAGGATGCCACGCGAGTGCGTTCCTATCATGGCGAAGTTCAAGCGAGAATTTCAAGAACAGGCCTTCGGGTGGCTGCATTCACGTGCATAACTGAATCTTTGCCTGGCCCAGGCTCTGGGGGACGCTGCTTTGCGCTCTGAGCTGCATGATTTGCAGCGTACTAATTGACAAAGCTCACAAGTCCAGGAAAAGTGGGCTTTGTCCTGATTTTGGAAATTAGATCTGATTCTGGCCGTTTCTGGAATTTGTGAGGGGGACAAACAGGCCGCACAACGAGCGCACTTTCCCGCCTCAGAGGCGCAATTTCCCGCCACTCGGGCGCACTTCAAAAAGTGTAAGTTTTGATAACTGTGTTTGCGCGCCAACACACCCGGCTAGCAGTGTTTCATGCTAACGCACGCGAGACTCGTCAATATTTCTGTCGCTTAGCGGCTCAACTTGGGTTCCCACGAGAATTCTCAGGTGCATGCCTCAGAGCCTGCACTCAAGTGCTACTTTGGCTGGTGCCGTGGAAGAGTTGGATGCCAGATCTCGCTTGGAGCAAGTAACCGCAAAGCGCAAGTTTGTGGAGGAGCAGATTAAAGCCCCTCGGTTTGAGATGATAACCTGCCCCCGCAGGCTTCGCCATTATAACATCCAGCACGTTGCAAAGTCTGTCACATGCAATGTTGAGCTACGTCCGGTAGCAAAAGCGGCTGACACATGCAACGACGTAGTGTGTAGGGGGCAAAGGTTTTAAAAAGAGCCTCGTGTCTGAGGCTTCGCAGGAGCGCCTGAAAGCGCTTCGCCGCGCAGCGAGCAACCAGGCTCTCCAGGATGTGCCCGAACATCAGGTTTCAGGCCTGGCGCAGCGCGTGATCGCACTTTGCACGTATGCTAGCGCCAGGAGCCCCACACATTGAGCAATCGGCTGGCGTTTTTGCTGCTGACGTAGCTCGGTGTGACACATGCCCCCTTTTTCGTGTAGGGATGTGAAACATGCAAAATCTGTAGTTACAGTTAAGGGTCTCTTTCAACATCTTTCTCAAGCCAAGCGGGTCTCTCTCAAACCCTCTCTCGGTCTCAGGGTCTACGATTGGTTGAGGGTAATGCAGGCCGCCATATCTCTCAAGTCAGGGCTTCCCTCACTCTCTCATTTGCTTAAGGGTCTCTCTGCCTCTGCTTCTGTCTCTCTGCTTGTCTGGCTCTCTGCCTCCCTGTCTCTCTGTCTCTGTCGATGTTTTTGTTTCTCTGTCTCTCTCTCTCTCTCTCTCTCTTTGTCTCTCTCTTTGTCTCTCTCTCTCTCTCTCCCTCTCTTTCTCTCTCTTCCCTCTCTTTCTCTTTTCTGTTTCTCTCTCTCTCACATGGCAACCACACTTTTCGGGTTTGCCAAACTGTTTTTTCACAGTAGCTGCAACCGCACCAGGGTCATGCTACTCAGGCTTGACAAGGCTTGACAATGCGGCATGTTTTTCATGCTAAATCAACCGCCCCGGGTTTGCTGACTCACGCTGGCAAGCGTTTTCGCTGCTTCAACACATTTGTAAATTGTTGGGGCAGGCGTGGTGCTGGCAATGCGGAAGTGGTTGGATGGGTGTTGCTGGCAATGCTGGGAGGGAAAGGGTGCGTTCATTTAACCCCCCTCTGGAGACAAAATGAACGCCCCGTGTTGCTGGTGATGCTGGGGGTGTTGCTGCCGGTGGTGCCGGAAATGCTGGTGATGTTGCTGGGGATGCTGGGAGGGAAGGTCTCGGGTTGCTGGTGATGTTGGGGGTGTTGCTGGCGATGCTAGGGGTGTTGCTGGTGATGCTGGGGGTGTTGCTGGTGATGCTGGGGGTGTTGCTGGTGATGCTGGGGGTGTTGCTGGTGATGCTGGGGGTGTTGTTGGCGATGCTGCCCCAACTTAGGGGTGTGGAAACAGAGGTCCGTTTTCACGCCCCCGAAACTGCTGTGCACCCCACGCTTTCAGGGTCTTTCCCCGCTCAGGTCTCTGTTAAGGTCTTTCTCAGGGTCTCTTCTAAGGCGGCTTCATTGGCGCCAACAACACCGTCGATTTTGGAGCCTATCCATGTGCAATCAACTCAATCCCTGCCCTCCGAGCAGGGCTACTTCAATCAACACTATGCGCCAGCCACGGCAACCCAGCTTGAGAGCCAACCAACTGTTCCTGAGCCCAAGCAGGACATTGCCGAGAGCCAGCCTGTGACCCCTTCTCAGGAGCAAGTGGTGCCTGTGACCCCTCCGCCCAACCAGGCCACCGCCAGCCAAGCGACAATTCCCGCAGTCCAAATCCTTACTACCCCAGACGGGCAGCATGAGGTTACCCCGTGTTTTGGCAGCAAATGCATCTGCATATTTGCAGGCTTATGCGCTATAAAATGTAGAGCCAACCAAGGAAGCAGAATCTTCATGATGCCCTCGGGTCTGTCACGCCCACTCCACCCTGCCTGGAGGGGCTTGACGATGATGAGGAAGAGGTGCCTCGCGACAACAGGCGGGATCCCATATATTGGCGGTTGCGCCGGTACACAACACCCAAAGCCAACGGCTCCATGAAATGCAGCCCGGAAACAATGTCCATGTGGGGGACAGAGGAGGGCCGCTACTTGCATCAAGTTAATCATTCCGGGTGTCAATCGAATGGCCAGCAATTCATCCATCCACACCTCCCGATTAAGGAGAAGAATTGAAGAAGCTCCTGAGGGAGCACGGAGATTTGAGGTGGCTGTGCAGCGGATCTCCAGCACCAAGTCCATGCAAGAGAAGACAGGGGGCTGGGTGTGCCGGTCTGTGCTGGAGAACAAATATGGTTGGTCCAAGTTCCCAAGTTGCAACTTAACCAGGGGAGGTTTGTTCATCCAGGGTCCAGTGTGGTTTGAGCTAGGAATCGTACTATAAGGAAAATGATCGACAAGACGGTGGAGTGGGCGAAGCAAAATGGCCAGCACCGAATTTCAAAACTTCACGGAGAGGAAGAAGTGTGCATTGTTCTGGAAGAGAACTTTGGCTGGAGTGCTACGGAAGAGCAAAATCAAACTCGGCAGCAGCGCTTCGACGTGGAGGCACGCCGGGTCCGCGCCCTTCCCGGGACTGCTCACACCGACTCCCACCCCCCACTGCAGAAGGCGACAGTGATTCGCGGGTAGCCAACAAACAAGGGCCCTTCACTTCACAAGCGCCATTCTAAAAAAGTGAGGCGCCACAGAATTTGGTTGGGGCGGTCTTGGGTAGCAATCTAATCTGACAAGGCAAGAAAACACTTCCATTGCGCAAAGCGGCACCTTCAACTAGAGTTCACAGGCTTTGGCGGGGCAATGCCTAGGCTGTTCGTAAAGCAAGATATCTCGAGAGTTTTGTGTTGGATGGACGCTAGAGTTTTGTGTGGCCTTTCCCATTTTGAAAATCACTTTTTTGCATCGATCGCTGTTTGGGGGAAGCCTTCAAAAAGGTTCCCGCCAGCCCCCCCCCCGCCCCCCCCTACCTACGCACTCTGTCCAGGATCCCACCGCTTCTCTGGTCACGGACACCGTGGCAGCTCCCTCGGCCAACAACCCTTCCGCAGCCTTCTCCGCCTCCTCCCGCGAGAGCCAGCCTGCCAGCGCCAGCCCAAGCGAGCCCACGACAGTCATGGCATCCAGCCAGAACATCATGTCATTTAAGCGACTGTTTCGCAGTTAGCACGCATTTTGCAGCTAGGCTCTTCAGAGTTGCTCTTCAGAAGATCGATAAAACTGTTTTGCAACGCAGCTCCCAGGCTTGTGTTCCCTGCTCTCCAGAGCAACGCCAGCCCTGTGACAGTGCTACCAGGGTTCGTGGAGGTTCTCGGGAAAAAGATTGACAAGACCCGCGACGTGCTGGACACGCGTGCGCTGTAGAGTTTGTTTGTTGGCTTGGTCTGTGCGTGCAACATGTCTTGCTGGCCCTTGGTGCAGGACCGTTTGACAGTGGTGGAGACAGCAGCTGCAGCTGCGTTCCTGGGCAGCGGCTGGCGTGGGCTTGCCCGCGAATTTAGTTGAACTGCTGCTAGTTGTTTGGCAACGCACCAGGAAGCGTGTGTGTGTGTGTGTGTGTGTGCGTGTGTGATTGCAGCGCCATGCTTGGTACTGTTTGTTGTTTGTGCGTGCTGCGCGTTTGTCTGAAGGTCTGCTCGAGATTACGACTTTGATGCTAGCATGTAAGTCGCTCAGCCAGCTAGGTTCCACAGTCTCGCCTGGTCTAGCTTCATGTGGTTAGCTGTGTTTTAATTGTTTTACGTAGTTTGCTTACCTAGCTAAAGTTAATTATGTATTTGGGTTAGTTAGTCAGTGAGTCAGTCAAGTCAAGTCACGTCAAGTCAAGTCAGCCAGCCAGGTCAGTCACTCAGGGTGAGTCAGTCGTCAGTCAGTCAGTCAGTCAGTCAGTCAGTCAGTCAGTCAGTCAGTCAGTCAGTCAGTCAGTCAGTCAGTCAGTCAGTCAGTCAGTCAGTCAGTCAGTCAGTCAGTCAGTCAGTCAGTCAGTCAGTCAGTCAGTCAGTCAGCAGCCAGTCAGTCAGTCAGCCAGTCAGTCAGTCAGTTGGTTAGTAAGTTTGCTGGTTGAGGGAGGGAGGGAGGGAGTGGGTGAGTGAGTGAGTGAGTGAGTGGGTGAGTGAGTGAGTGAGTGAGTGATTGAGTGAGTGAGTGAGTGAGTGAGTGAGTGAGTGAGTGCAAGGGTGAGAGGGAGGGAGGGGGGGGGGGAAGGAGCTGGAGATTCACGCTCAGTGGGTGGGTGGGTGGGTGAGTTTGTTAGTTGGTTAGTACGCTACTTTGTTCGTTAGCCTAGTTTAGTTCTAGCACGCGCATGTCGTTGCGACTTCCGTGCGCGCGCGGGTGTGCTTAAACGGTGTAAGCAACTGTTCACTGTTCGAACAAGGCTGCTGACGCAAATCGGTGATCAGCTTCGGAAAATGGAAGCTCTACACGAGACCCTGACCGGCAAGCAGGCCACTGCTGCTGTCTCGCCCGACGAGTGCACAAGGCCCCAGGGCTTGTCGCTTTAAGCAACCCAACTGTTGAATGGCCGCCCTGAAGGGAATGGAAAAATGCACTTCTTGCCGACCTGGTCACATGCACAAAGCTTGACGTCACTATGAATTCGATCCTTTTGAGGGCTCGGTGCCTTATCTGCACTGCAAAGAATGTGTAGCGATTTGAATCAGTTCTAGAGCTTGCCGCCATGCCTGGCCTCTTGCCAAGGCCGATGCTCCCAAAGCCCGGGACCACAGCCTTACAGGGAACTGGCGACAAGCAGAAGGCTCCCAGAACCCCCAAAACCAAGAGCGCGCCTGCGTCTAAGAAAGGTCCAACAAAGAACAAACCGAAAGCGCGGGCCAAGAAGAATGATGATCAGAAAGAGGAATCTGACAAATAGGTGTCTGCCCACAGGTGGTAGCAAGCAAGCGTGCCAGCTTGGGGACTCATTTCGGAGAAAACCGTGATCACTATGCATGCAACCATGTGTCAAAGCTACGAAGCACGCTTGTTGGCGATTTTGACCAACGCATCGCAGAGGAGGGCAACAAAAAGGAGCGCCAGAAACATTGCTCCACATAATTCTCAGCTGGCCATATGCAAGTATGAATGGACGAAACATTTCACCACCTTATAAGAAACCATTTTCTGAAAATTCCAACAAACAATGCCTTCCCATATGGTTTCAAAGTGGTGCAGGATTTCGTCCATCCACATGCAGTGTTGCGCACGGATGGGATCTTTCAATGAAAGTTGGATGGTTGCCAGGCCACCGAATTCAGCGAGGCCTGAATCCCAGCTTTTGCCAACCCAACCTCCAACCTGGCCTGCTGCAGGTGACGACCTGGATGATGAGAGCTCCAGCAGCGACCTCTGCGATGAGCTGTTCGACATGTTTGCGCAGGGGGTGGCTTGGACAAGCTGTCTCCAGCGAAACACGTTAAAACACACTGCGTTTGGGATTCGTTTTGTCCCTCAGGCTTCTGCTGAATCGATATCTCGGATTAGCGCCCGATCTGCGAAAACACTTAAGAAAAGTGGACTCTTGGCAGCAGGTTGGCGCTTGTGCACTAGCCAGCGGTACGTTGATTTGATGTTGCGCGAGGAGCACGAGATCAGAAAATGAACTATCTTGCCAGCTGCTTTCAGTACGACAAGCATGGCAGAAATGCAAGCCGCAACATCAACAAACTCATACACCGCCAAGGTAGGACACTGGAAGTGCCGGTGAGCGCAGTACGTGTGCCTATCAGGGTGTCTGCACGCCGGCCAAAGGCCATGATTAACTGGCCGGTTTTGCACTTGAGCTCTTGGCTAAAGACTTGTTGCAACACTTCTGCCTATAGTGGCTTCTTCTTTCTGAGTGGCCGGACCATCGACCAGCCCGAGGAAATTAGGGGCATGCTGGGGCGTTTTTGGGAGCGCCACTTGAAGGCCCTGGAGTTTGCCCCGCCCTTCCCTCAGCAGACCCTGCCAGTGTATCTCCATGGCGATGAGGGCCGTGGACAGGGAAAACGACCAATTCTTGTGATATCTTTCCAGCCAGGGATGCCGTGGTTTGGGGAGAATGAGGTCAACTCTTCAAAGCGCTTGGGCAAAATGAGTTATAAATGGTCAACGGTCGACTAACTTGTGTGTGTGAGGAGTTTGTTTTGAACGGGAAGCCAAGGCACACCTTTACAACGCGTGCGCTGTACACCGTGGTGCCCTCTGCAAACTACGCGCCGAAGGGGGGGACTTTGAAGGAGCTTCTTGCGGCTCTCAGAGACGATCTCAACAGCTTGTTCGAAACCGGCTTTGAAGCGTCTTGGCTCACATTCAACATGTAGAAAGCATGCGTGTGAATCTATGAACAATGCATGACTCTGCTGGAAGCAGCTTAGGTTGAGGTGAATGGACAATCCCACAGGTACTTCGTTACTTGCTTGGGGACGAAAGGGGACTGGCCATGGCTGAGATCTGCGTTTGGCCTCCGTTCTGGATACAGCAGTGGCAGAAAATGTCACCTTTGTGACCACCCAGAGACATAGCTAGCATTCGCATGGAGAATGTGGAAGCGTGCGCATGTTTTTATCATCGTCGGATCAAATTTTCGAAGCATAAGGAGTGGTACGATTTGGGCCCATCCTCGCCAACCTGGACATGCAGCAAGGATTCGCACTTGACAGTGCCCAGACCTTTCAAAAGGGAAAATGCACCACTTCGAGAGCTGGCCCCCTTTGGTGATGACCCCAACCAGATCAAGATTGACATAGCGCACACTTACGCAATTGCAGGTTATGGAAAAGATTGCCAGGCATCTACATTGATCTTTCTGGCTGTGAGGTGCCATGTTTGGGGCAGAGCAAGAAAGTACGAAACGCAAGCATACAGGAGTTTAGCAAGGCGGAGCTCAAGATCACCTCGCTCCTCACCAACACATTTTAAGATTTTGATCCAACGTGTAACATGCAATGAGCGTTTCTACATTAACCACCTCCTTGTTCTCAGGCTGCGCAAATTTCCTCGAGGATTAGGCAAAGGACATGACTGCGCTCTCTTGGCTTCCTGGCTGCGGGATGTCCTCAAAGAGCTTGACCCGGCCTCGGTGCCGGCAACTTGGATTCATCTTGGGTGGCGTGGGGATCTGTTTGTGAGTTGCTTCCCACCAAGGCGAACTGCCGAGAAATCCTAGAGGTTGTCAAGTATGGAAACCACGCTGAGAACGAATTTTTCCGGACAATATATCGCAGCGGGCTTTGGCTCACCCGCTGTGAAGCGACGTGTGTCGTTTCGCATGGGAAACACATGCTGGAAACTTCAAAGCATATTAGATTGAGTGAAGGGCGGCCGCCATTCAATTGTTCCACATTCTTGCTGAGGAGTCGTACGGTGCCTTGAGCTACCTGTGTGATCAGAAAAAATGGAAGCTGTTCTACTTGCGGCCTAAATGCCACATGATGATGCACGTGGTGTCACACGGCTGAGATTAGGAGCATCACGCTCATGATGTGTGAAAGCACGCCCTGCCCAAATCCCAGGTTGCAGGTGGAGTACCAACTGGAGAACAATGAGTGCCAGCGTATTTTGAGTCCGGCCAGCCTGAAACTCAAAGTCTCAAAGGGGTGATTCAAGCGTGCTTCGGGCTGAGGCACGGCCACATGGAGCGATGAAGATTTCATCGGCCGTGTGAGCCGCACGAGTAGACGGGGTCACTCTTCCATCAATCTTCCCTTTCGCACTTTGAAAAAGTGTTTGATGCAGTACCGAAACCAGTGGGGCAGAGCAATTGCTTCCTCCACTGACCGCTTGCGGCATCCAGCTTTTTCGAAAGAATATCACGCAAAAAGAGGACCCCTAGCCTTCAAAGTAGGTGGCCTTTGTTTGATTTTTGATCCCAGATCCGTAAAGGAACCCTGCGAAGTGCCGCGGTCAACACGTCAGTGTCCAGGGCCCGAGCGTGGGCAGGATCATCAGCTTGCCGAAGAAGACGCGCCAGCGCTGTATGTGCACTGTTTGTGTGTGCAAGCGTGGGTCACTGCAAATAAACCCTTTCTGGGATTCAGTGTTTCTTGAAGTAGCTTGGCCTTTTGCAGCTTAGGGGGACAGTTGGTCCGACTGGAGCCTGTCAGCAACTATACACACCCCGAGCGATTTTTGAGAGCACGAGCGCTTTTTGAAGGAACGCGCAGTTTTTGGCACGCACGAAAAAAACGGCCAAATGAAGATACAGGCTAATAATACTGTCTGCGATGGTTCCCTGCCCACCAGTGGAACTGAAGGGCATCTTGGACTTACCACAGCGCAGCACCATCGCACGCGTCTTGGCCCGCTTCAGCGTTAGCATCGTGAGCCACGTGCCCGCCAAGAAGTCAAACACAAAGCAGCGAGAAGGCGGTGCCATGGCTGTCTCCGAGTTCCGTGAACCTCAAACTGTCGGATTGTGATGAAGATCGCCAATCTGAAATGAGGGACCTTTGCAAACAAGTGGACTTCACGCACCATGGGACTCCCAGAACAACACACACACACACCAATACAAGGAACACAGTCCTAGGTGCCCACAGTCTTAGTATGCGATCAGCATCGCGGTCCACATGCGCCCCGCCTCCACAAAGCCCTGTGGCCTGCCGCATGAACACCACGCAAGGGGATCGTCCAAACGCAGACTTGTTTGATAGATTCTGGTATTTTGTTGCTTGGATAGATGCAATATCCAAAAGGTGGATGAAAAGATCTGCTAAAAGTTGTCAAGACATACTTGCTCCTGTCTAGGCATTGATGCATTGGAAGTTGAGTCATTGAGCGCATTCAGCCTGGAGCTTCCCATGACAATCATCGATAGTTGGAGTATCGAGAGAAAGCAGTCAGTGAACAATCTACCTGTAGGCAAACCGGCAAACCTTTTTGAGCGTGACTGTACTATCGGGAGGATCTGGCACCATCAAGTTGCTTGTTTTCCCGGAGCATCACCGCCAAAGGGGCTCGACCTTTTCACGGGAAGGTCCAAGCGTGAAATGGGCAAGCAGTCGCACTCTGAGCACCAGGCCGCGCGGGCTCATTAATGATCTTGAGCAGCTTGTGCTCAGCCCTCAGCTACATAATTTGAAGATATGTGCAGGTCTGTTCTGGTATGGGGAAGTGGGATATGTTCAGCACTCCGTTCGGCAATGTGGTTCAAGTGCAGGACCAATAAACGTATCTATATCTGCGACCGACGCAGGCCTATTCAAGCTTTTTCTTGAGGGCTATATGTGTGGCTACAAGACGAAAGAGGTGTTTTGAGTAGAAGGGGAATGAAAGGAATGCCTGACACGTTCCTTACCCAGCAGGGGTGAGTGTCCACATCAACCAGTTGTTTTTGTGCGCAAGTCGCCACCTGTTGCGGATCGTTTGGCCTGCAGGTTCAGTCTCTCAAGACGGCCTGAATGTTTTTTGCGGGAACCCCTTTTTCTGGGGTTGCTCAAAAGGAAACCAAAGGAAATCATGTTTGTTTGTGTGTTTTTCTTTTTGTTGGGGGAGGGGGGGGGCGGGGTGAGTCCCTTTTTTAGCAAGCTACACCCCCAAATAGTCGCCTGAGCCGCAGGCGCCAAACTGCCTGGCGCGCCACATTGCGAATCCTGGCGCCGCAAATGTTCGATGCCTCGAGTTGGTTTTCTCTCCAAAACTCAGCTCCACCAGAGATGCACCAGGGCCAGTGACTGGCAGTTGACCTTTCGCGGGTCAAACGAGTCATGCTTCTTGGGCTCTCTAGGCCATGCGGCGACACATCTGCCAGGTTTGCCTGCACTCCAAATGGGATTGCCTCCAAATAGGAACATTGAGAATTGGGCTCCCGTGGGTTTCCATTGAGACAACCCCCAAACATATCGTCAAAAGAGAGTCTCGATTTAACTGCATACAATTGCTTGAGCTGTGTGCACTCCATATTCATGGCGAGCCTCGCGCTTTGGCTGAGCTCAAACCAGGCAGTGGCATTGGGATCCATCCGCGTCACTAATCAAACCTGAAACGGGCTGCATTTTGAGGGCTGGGCCATTTCCTTGAACTGACCATGATGCAAACACAGCGGCTGCCAATGTTTTCATCCTGCCCACAACGCGCCCGAAACCTACCGACCTATTGTATAGGGCCCTTCCAACCACTTGCCCCCAAAATATCGGTGTGAAGCCGATTGGAAGCGGCTCGTCTTGGGGGGCCTTCGTTGGAAACCCCATGGACGTTGCTTGCGGGCAGGAGATTCATCCCACCGACTCCAGGCCTCAAACTTGACCGCCACAGGAGAGTTACACTTCTGATCGGTGCCCAGGAAGACCGCGCCGAAACATCCCTGCCCGACGCGTGAGGTGTCAGCAACTCATTGCGGGTCATCCCTTCAAGGTCCCTGTGAAACTGCAAGGTCCCGGTTACATCCCAAGCTTCAATAGAACGGTGAACTGCCAAATGGTGGCCAAATTCAGCCTCAACTCTGGGCTTTGACGAGATGAGGAAAAACTGGGGATTGACGGATCGTGGCGGCACGTTCAAGTCGACTGCGGGACAGAGGCTTGAATAACGACTGGGTAAAACTCTTGGCATGCCAAAGAAGGATCAGTCTCTGGTTGCCGCATCTAGCAAACTTCCATGCGATATGTGGTAATTTACCACTATATGGTCCTGGGACCCCTCGCGTTGGCAACGCCACTGAAAAACAGCGTGCGCAAGAACCCAGGTCCCCACACATAAGAGGATAAGGCGATAGGACCCTAGATCGCCGTGTTCAGGGCGAGGAAATGATTTTTGGACATGTGTAGCCGGCTGACAATCAATAGCCAATAGCAAAAGATGGAAGTGGCTTGCATGAACCTGCCCAATCGTAACCAACTGACAGCCCTTCATGCTCTCTGTAATGAAGCCATTCTGAAAGAAGCGCTGGATGCTTGCCGGCTTTCGGCGGTGGGGGCGGGTTCAAACCCAAACCTCCAGTTTTCTTGGGAAGCACTTTGTTTCTAGGAGGAACCCGCCCAAACAACAACCAACAAGGGGCACTGTATGTCTGGCTAAAGTAAAAAACAACATATTCTGGCATCTCCCAGTCCATTTGACCCCATTTGAAGTGGTGCCACATTTCCACTAGACTGGGGCAATTTAAGGCACCATGCCTGCAAAGCTCGGGAAGTTCTGCCGCCTAGCCCTGTGCCATGCACATGCAGAAGATGCAAACCAAAGCTACGAGCTGAGGTATGAAACGTTGATATTGCCCTGCAGGCAGGCAAGGTTTGGACTTTGAGTTGAGGTTGGCCAAAGATTAGACGTAGGCTTGCTGACCCCTGCACTGACACAGGCTTGTTGCAGGCCGAAAATTTGCATGCTGACACTGGCTACAACCCTGCCAGGAATTGCAGGGTGTACGAAGGAGCCGACAACTTATTGACAATCACCAAGGCTCAAAGCGAGTTGTTTGGTTGCACTGGTCAACAGCGGCCAAACCCCATCACTTGATTACGAAGCCGTAACGGGTCCACGAGGTCTCTGTGGGATGCAAGCCACTGGGCACAAGGTGACTTTCACCCACTTGGCTAGGATCAACCTGCTGCACTTCACCGCGCCTCGCCCAACTTGTCCTGCACCTGGAAGCGTGCCCCTTCACCCACCTGGGTGGGAAACTTCTTCGGCATGTCCTGAGCGTCTGATGTGAGTGAGCATGGCTCAAAAGCTGGAGTATCGTGGGATTAGTGCAGTGCTCTTTGATGCTCCTTGAGCTACACGGGTGCGAGACAGTGCTACGAAAGCGCATCTAACCAACAAACATGGAAGGCAACCAGCCTTTCCAAAACAACAGTTGCCCACAAGGTGCCTGTTCTGCCCTGTTTGTTGGCGGGTCGTGTGGGGCTTCATGAATCCACCTTGGTGCCCCTGCCTTCGAGCCACTCAATATCTACATGGCCATGGCCGTGGTGAATCGAAGTTCAGCGCAGTGCGGTGTTGGCTGCGGTGGCACCTGGAGTGAAAGCTCGTCCCATCTGCCTGTGGTGTTGCAACATGTTGCAAGCAACATTGCCATGATTCTCCCAAATGCTTTTGGGCCAAAACATGTACGCGCGGCAAGGTTTGGCGACTGCGGGACACAGAAGCCTCAGTTGTACAGGGAATTCATGCTCCTGCAGGGAAAAAAGCGCTGGCAGTTCCTGAGGGCATCCAAGGGGACGGGGCTACAAGTCCAAACGCCGTCATGAGTAAACATCTCGGACCTGGCGTTTCTGATCTAATTTATCTTGCTGCCAACGCCCTGCGTCGCAAATGTTGGCTCATGGCCAGGGCACAATGAGCTGATTGAACCCTCCAGTGGGTTGGACATCTCTGGCGGCCAAGCAATTTTGAAGCGATCGTCATAAGGCATAAGCAAGCCTGGGACCAGGCAGCACCGGTTGGAAATGCGAGGCCGCAAGCGCCATAAACTACTCAACCAAACAAGCAGCTGGTACCACACAAACAGCTGGCGTCAAGTGGGTGGTTCAGCTCCAACATGGCTGCAATGACGTCCCTGTCACGGCTGGTGTCGCAATCAGACAAGCCCAGCTCGACGTCGAAGGAAAAACCGTTTTGCTATTGTCCCCTTCCAGAATCACCCCACCAAAAGAACTTCTCTGAAAGGGGATGTGCGAACCCCAAAGGAGGAAGAGAGCTGGACCCCGAAATGGACAAGGCTTTGCCAGCACAGACTGTCAGAATCCAGCAATCAAGTAATTCTCCGCCTGTTGACTTGGCAGAGCTCCGGGCAGGCAGCATCTAAAAAAAGGAGCTGATTCCGCTGATCTACTCATCTCGCTGTGGTTGGAACTGCTCTGATCTGAAACCTCCCAATTAGCTGCTTAAAGCACAAGGCTGCAAACAGCTACCCGGAAAGTGCGTGAACCATCATGTGACGATGTGAGTAGTGACCCGGTAACTCATCTGAAAGACAGAGCTCCGGGCAGGCAGCATCTAAAAAAAGGAGCTGATTCCGCTGATCTACTCATCTCGCTGTGGTTGGAACTGCTCTGATCTGAAACCTCCCAATTAGCTGCTTAAAGCACAAGGCTGCAAACAGCTACCCGGAAAGTGCGTGAACCATCATGTGACGATGTGAGTAGTGACCCGGTAACTCTCCTATTTCGCAAAAAAGAAGAAGAAAGATTGAGATCAAAGAAATCCGACCCAACAGGGGCTCGTGTTGCTATGACGCACTGCTTTGGCAAATGGCATGAACCTGCTGTGCCGCTCTGCCTGTCCGAGCTCAAAAGTGCTTGTAGCATCCACAAGGGGGCCGCTCCGTGAATTAAGATGGAAAATGTACCGCTCCAGCCCACTCTTTACAACGCGCGGCCTGGCCACAAGGGTCAAACATGCCGTGGCAAGAACCCCGTTGACGCGTGTTGACGCGTGTTGTTCCCCTTTGCCTTCTGCAGCCAGAGCAAACATCAGATACAGACCAGAGGCGCTCAAGCACACATGCTGGTGCAGCTTGGCCCGTTTTTCATGAGCACGACGCAGTACTGGATCATGATCAGAATCATCTTCACAACGCTGCTGGAAGTCACACAAAGGTTCTACCAGCCCGTATCGCTGAAACTGTTGCCCTCCCTCCCACAAGTGTGGAAGCCAAACTAAGGAAGGGAGCGCTCAGAAAACATATTTGCCTCCCAACGGTCCCTGCTGTCCATTTCCACGTTTGGTGCCAGGGCTACACGCATGCTTGCGACTGTCATGTTCGCCCCCTCGCCTCGACGCTGACCAAGCTATTCGCACACCTGCATCGATTGCTTCAGCGGTAAACACTGACCGGAATTTATGACAGCGGAGTCAAAAACTGTGGTGACCAAAGCCACAAAAGGGAAAACCTCAAACTTCATTAACTTTGGATATGTCTTGCATCACCAGGAACATGTGAGCCACGGTCAAAGCTCCGTATGTGGGTCACGGTTACGGTTCCCCGAATAGGATGCTTTACGATGGTTGTCCACATTCCACAACAAAATTTCATGATCGTCCCTACCAACCCCGCCTGCAGGAGTGCTTTGACCATGGTACATGTGAGGACTGTGGGCGCTACCAGCTCCAAATGAAAGCTGAGCCGGTTTGCGCACACCCTATTTTGCACCAGCCGAAAATCACACCCCAAGAAGAGTTTTCAACGATTCACCAGCGTCGGTGCAGATATGCCTTCGGAGGAGGAAGCACATGAGCTGTAAAACAGTCAGCTAAGGAAACCAATGATAAGGTGTGGGACTTGTCCCTATGGCCCTTCTTGGAAGCAACAGGTATGCATGTGCCCCCACAGCACGTCAGTTAGCAAAGTACCGGAAGCGTGGAAGGACAAGTTTGCCTCTTGAAACGCCCGCGTTTCTCTAGGAGCAGGTCATGAATTGTAGGTGATGCTGCTCTTCTATGGGACCCAGAATTGATACACCCCTGATGTTTTTTTTCGGGGTCATGTCCCAGTTTGAAGGGAATTATTCCCGCGCTAAGCCCCTCCCACAAACCAATTCCATGGCTCATGGCAAATGCCCCCCAGCCACGTTTGCCTTGAGGCTCGCGGGGCGCGCAAGGAAGGGGTAGACGGCGTACATGCTCAGCCACGCTGCAAGCAACACGAGCAAGACCTCAGTCGGAAACAAACTCATCCTAGATCAGGGAAAGTCAAACGTTTAGCAGTCCCAAAGAATCAATCTGCTTGTGCTAAGTTACCCCTCGAACGGCCCGATGTTGGCCCTACATGTGCCGAAATGTTTGATGGACACACGCTCGCAGTGTCAACTTGGGAATTATCGGAGGATAGTACTAATCAGGGGTGGTCTGGTTTGCACGGCGTCCCAGAGTTATGAAGTTGACAACCCCCTCCTTATACCGGATTGAACCTGCCAGCCAGCATCATTGCCCTTAGCACGGTGAAACAGCACCCGGCCCACTCTGCCCAAGCCAAGCCCAGGCACCAAGTGATTGTCCCAGCTGATGCCAGCCATCAACGTGGAATTCACGTAGATGGCGAGGGCTGGGCGAGTGGCAAGGCTTTGGGATCCAGGCATGGAGAAGGGCGAGCAGCGTGAAAGCTGCTCCATTCTTGTGCACATCCAGTCCAAGTTGTGCCTTTGCAATGGTTTTATTATCTTATCCCTTTGGTTCTTGAGCTGCAAGAAAGGACATCATGCAAACATACCTTTCCTTCCCACGCCGCAGCTCCAGCTCCAGCTCATGATCATCATCTCTCAACAGCCTAAGCTTAGCTTTGGTCATTGCCGAGGAACAGAATGAAGCCATCTGGTGATTTATGGAAAGCTGCGTCTGCTTTTGAGCCCAAGTAAAGGACAGTTCCAAAAAAAGCTGTGGAACTGTCCGCATCTGGCCTATCATCTTTGGACGCTGCCTTGTTTCGCTGTCACGGCACAAGGCTCAGCGGAGAAGTGAAACAGACCAAGGGATGTAACGGATATGCTAAGACCGCTGTCCAGGAAAGGTTGGCCCTTTTTGCATCCCCAAACCGCCTAGCAACACTGCTAGCTGTTAACAACATCTCATTTCCTCCACTCCAACACCTGGGCGCGCCGAATCACGAGGTGAGTCCACAGCACCAAGAGCAAGCGTCAAACAGCGAGGCCGCGCCTGGAATGATCGGGATACAAGGGGCGTTGAAGATGCCTTCCTGGCAAGACCGACGCCCCGAGACAATCACTCATTTTCAGGACCTTGCGGGTGAAAGGCAACTGCAGGGCCTGGATTGAATCGTTGCATGCCAAATAAACCAAACGAAGCTCCGGTGCAACCCAAGGCCGAATTCTCGCAAACAGAACGAGGACCACATCCCAAAGCACACAGCAATTCAGGACTACGAGTCAATCCAACAACGCACAGGCCCGCAAAGAGAAAGAGGGTTATTGGGGGTCTTGGACCATTTGCTACACATCTACCCTTTGGTAGGCCCTAAGGAGATCCAACGCGAGCAAAAGCTAACGCGCGTGGACCTGTGGGCCCGTCAGCTGTGTGTACCCGGTTTTGATGTGCAAGGTGATGCCCACCTCAGGCCCGGTGCGTTGGCATCGGCAAGACCCCAAGCGGCTCCTTGCCTGAGCCTTGAACGAGGGTTGGCCCGACCCCAGTGGAAGACTCCGCAGGAGCGGGAGAGGCCAACCTCCATATTGCACCTTTACACCATTCCTGCAGGATTCCAATGAAACCTGGCATGTCATTGGTACGTGTCTCTTTGGGATGGCCACGACTCCTGCAATGCCCACCTCGTGTTTTCTTCTGGAAATTCTGGACGTGTTCTGCGCAAACTCGTGATTGCAGAAAGGTCTTAATGCTTGCATCTAATGGGGCCATGGGATTTGCACTTGACACTGAAGCCGACATACCCCGATGGGAGTGACCAAGGAGGCGCGCCAAAATTGACAAGATTGGTACCAGTGGAAATCCTGCAATAGATGGCTGATCATGCTACTCATTCGTTCCGCCGCCAGGTCGTTGGACCATATGGCTGGTTGTCAAAACGTTGTTTCCCAAGTTGCTTGGAAATTATCGTTTCCAAGCGGCCCGTATCATAGCGGGCGTATGGTTCAATCTCATTGCGGCGCAATTGCTTTTAAGAGCACATGTGCAGATTGTGTGGCAGGCGCACTAGCCCGCGGCTTTTTCAGTCGGAGCTAGAAGAGCTTGAGCTACTACTGTTGCTTTTGTTGTCACGAGCGCTGCTCGTTGCTCCAGCGAGGCGTCATTGTCTTGAACAATCACCCTAGAGGACGCAAGCTCTCCCTGATATCTTGCGAGTTTCTTTTCAAGAATAGTGGCCTTGGGGATGGCGGAGTCTGCAGGCTGATGCGGCTTGGGGATGTTGCTCCAAGGGGGCATGGCCCATTGTAGCATGGCCCATACAATGGGCCCACTGCTAGCGCGAGCGCCAGTGCGAGCTAGCGCCAGGCTAGCGCAAAAAAGCTTTGG